GGAAATAGCAATAATGCCAGTTAGTCAACAGTGACAGCTTAGACGGTTGAGCAGGTGCTGTGGCCAGTACCTTCTGGGCACTATCTCATTGAATCCAATTTCACAACAGGCTTAGAAACCGCTGCTCAGCAAGTGTCTGGGCAGGACTGGAACTTGTGTGAGCACCTGAAGTTCTTGCTTCTTACCGCTGTGTGCTGCTCCCTCTAGAGTGGCTGCTCAGTGACTGGCCGGCTTAGCTCAGGGGCTCAGTGACTACCAGAGTATAAGGGAAAGATCATTTGCTTTAAGGCTGATCTTTCTCTGCCTTGCGAGTGAGTAACTGAATCTCCCTGGACCTCAGTTCATCATTAAAACGAGAGCATTTGGCAGATCAGAGCTTTTCAAAATGTTTTAATGTAGTGGAATAGTTTTAAAAACTTAATGCAATATATAAAGCAGAAAGGATTGGTTAGTACTCCGGCGAGGAAGACCAAACCTCACCACTGCCTTTGGCAGTACCAGGGGCCCCTCTGGGGTGCCTGGCATATCCTAAATGTTCAATAAACCACTGGAGCAGCTAACGTTACTTTCAGCCCCCAAGGAGGCTGAGTGTTACCAGTATTATGATTAGCTGTGGCTATTTAAGGATAACACTGGACTCCTTTCATATCCTTTGTGGCAGGTAGAAAAGTGCCCGCACCCCATGTCCACATTTTTTTTTATTATACTTTAAGTTCTAGGGTACATGTGCACAACGTGCAAGTTTGTTACATAGATATACATGTGCCATGTTGGTTTGCTGCACCCATTAACTCGTCATTTACATTAGGTATTTCTCCTAATGCTATCCCTCCCGCAGGCCTGGTGTGTGATGTTCCCCACCCTGTGTCCGAGTGTTCTCATTGTTCAATTCCCACCTATGAGTGAGAACATGCGGTGTTTGGTTTTCTGTCCTTGTGATAGTTTGCTCAGAATGATGGTTTCTAGCTGCATCCATGTCCCTGCAAAGGACATGAACTCATCCTTTTTTATGGCTGTATATTATTCCACGGTGTATATGTGCCACATTTTCTTATCCAGTCTATCATTGGTGGAAATTTGGGTTGGTTCCAAGTCTTTGCTATTGTGAATAGTTCCCCAATAAACATACGTGTGCATGTGTCTTTATAGCAGCATGATTTATAATCCTTTGGGTGTATACCCAGTAATGGGATTGCTGGGTCAAATGGTAATTCTAATTCTAGATCCTTGAGGAATTGCCACACTGTCTTCCACAATGGTTGAACTAGTTTACAGTCCCACCAACAGTGTACAAGCGTTCCTATTTCTCCACATCCTCTCCAGCATCTGTTGTTTCCTGACTTTTTAATGATCGCCATTCTAACTGGTGTAAGATGGTATCTCATTGTGGTTTTGATTTGCATTTCTCTGATGTCCACATTTTAATCCTTTAAACCTGTGAATATGTTACCTTTCATGGCTAAAGGAATTTTTTTTTTTTTTTTTTTTTTTTCAGACAGAGTCTTGCTCTGTTACCCAGGCTAGAGTGCAGTGGTACAATCTCAGTTCACTGCAACCTCTGCCTCCTGGGTTCAAGTGATTCTTGTGCCTCAGCCTCCCAAATAGCGGGGATTACAGGCGTGCACCACCATGCCTGGCTAATTTTTGTATTTTTAGCAGAGATGGGGTTTCACCATGTTGGCCAGGCTGGTCTCAAACTCCTGGCTTCAAGTGATCTGCCCGCCTTGGCCTCCCAAAGTGCTGGGATTACAGGCGTAAGCCATCACGCTTAGCCAACAAAGAGGATTTTGAAGGTAAGATAAAGTGAAGGATCTTGAGTTACAGGAATTATACTGGATTATCTGGTGGGCCCAAGGTAATCTTAAGGGTCCTTAGAAGTGGGACAAGTGAGTCAGAGAAGGAGATATGATGATGGAAGCAGAGGTCAGAGAGACAGATGTGAGGAGGTTATGCTAGATTTGAAGATGGAGAAAGGAACCGACCAGACAAAACACGTGGGCTGCTTCTAGAAGCTAGAAAAGACGAGACAATGGATTTTTCCTTATCACCTCCAGAAGGAACAGAGCTCTGCTGATACCTTGATTTTGCCCTGTAAGACTCATTTTGGACTTCTGACCTCTAGAACTGTAAGATCATACATTTGAGTGTTTAAAATTTTTAAATTATATTATTATTATTTCTAGAGACAGGGTGTTGCTCTGTTGCCCAGGCCGGAGTGCAGGAGTGAGATCACAGCTCACTGCAGCCTTGAACTTCTGGGGTCAAGCAATCCTCCCACCTCAGCCTCCAGAGTAGCTGAGACTATGGGGATACACCACCATGCCTGCCTAATTTGAGTTTTCAAAAGCCACCAAGTTGTGAGACTTTGTTACAACAGCAATGGGAAACTCATAGGCCCTTGAGACAAGAATCTACCCTATACCACAAGTCACTTGTGTCCCTACTAATGACCGGATCATCAATTGAGGGCCGCCATGGCCAGCCACTATGCTTAGCATTTTACTTCTCTGATTTCACTGGACTTTCTAAACAGCCCTGTGAGTAGAGCCTGTCCTGTCCATTTAGTAAAAAGGAGGGGACCGGGGCTCTGAGAGGCTGTATCATCAGCTCAAGGTCACACAGGTAGAAAGCATGGTGCGTGGGGGCAGGACTTTGAAGCAAATCCAAGTGTATATGGCTCTAAAATGATCACTTATCTCTTCTGCCTTCAGAAGACATTATTTTCGGAGGGTGCTGGGAAGGCATTTAGATCCCGAGCTTGCAAACAGTGCTTCCTGCAAAGTCAGATTCTGAGCCCATCCTGGCTGGTGTGGGACACTGGTGTGTGTGGAAGGAGGGTGAAGTTTTGTACCATGTTTAATTTCATCTGAGCTTCCTCAGGAAGCTCAATTTTCTTCCCTAAAAATGGAGAGGAACAAACCTCCCCACTGCTCTTGAAATTTCTTCAGGAACAATTACTGAATCCTTGTCTGTTCAACATGCAGAATTCTCTATATGAAAGGAGGAGACAGGGAGAACAGAATGACTGCGCCTAGCTGGAGCACAAAACCAGGCTTATTAGGCAATGGAACAAACGAATCTGGCTCTTATGAGTGTGGGGTCTTGCTGTGTGAATATTCATGGAGTTTGGAAGATCAGTGATTGAGCAAACAGATATAATTAAAACATATTAAAAACAAAAGTCACTATGCCCTTTTCAAATGTGCTTCGGTTGTTTCTTTTGGTAAGTGGGATTTAATATAATTCTTAACATTTGTTGATTGTTTCTAATTACCAAATCACAGATACTCATTTTGGAAATGCTGGAAAATACAGAAAAGGATCAAGAAGGACAGTCACGTTCAATCCTGCCAACCAGACCAATCATGGTCAACATTTTCGCCCCATCGAAGGAACCTTCGTGATCACTCAGGCTGACTCCTTCCCTGCTGGGGGAAAAGGGGCCCAGTTAAGAAGCTGTTTGCTGTCAGATCTCAGAGTAGAAAGCAGGAATCTCTGGTTTTTAATTTGCCACATCTCTTCCTTTCTTCTTGCTGCTCTTCCAGAACCCTTAAAAAAATAATCTCTGGAAGAAATCCCCCTGCGATCAACTTCTGCCTTTGGTGGCTTCAGGAGGTCTCCAGCTATTTTCCATCAGGGAAATTTGAGATTCCAGGTCTGAACCACATTGCTTCTTTCCTTGTCATCTTTCTCTTTCCCCTTCTTTTTTTTCTCTTCCTCTTCCTTTCCTTCCTTCTAATGGAGGTATACTGTACATAGTGCCTTTTAAATTTAACAATACACTAGGGGCATGTCATTACATGCCAACAAATGTAATTGTATATTATGACATCATTTATTTTTTTTTGAGACAGGGTCTCTCTGTCTGTCACTCCAGACTGGAGTGCAGTGGTGCAATCCCAGCTCACTGCAGTTTTGAATTCCTAGGCTCAAGTGATCCTCCCACCTCAGCCTTCCAAGTAGCTGGGACTACAGACATACACCACTACACCTGGTTAATTTTTAAATTTTGTTGTGGTGACATCGTCTTGCTAGGTTGTCCAGTCTGGTCTCAAACTCCTGGCCTCAAGCAATCTGGCTGCCTTGGCCTCCCAAAGCTTTGGGATTATAGATGTGAGCCACTGCACCCCATTACATTATTTTTAATAACTGTATGTCCTGGCAAGTTACACCAGGATTTATATAACATATATAATCCCCTTTTATAATCCCCTTCAGGTGGACATTTAGGTTGCCTCCAGTCTTTCAGCATTTTTATTTATTTATTTATTTATTTATTTATTTATTTATTTATTTTTGAGATGGAGTCTCACTCTGTCACCAGGCTGCAGTGCAGTGGCGTGATCTCAGCTCACTGCAACTTCTGCCTCCCAAGTTCAAGTGATTCTCCTGCCCCCACCTCCGGAGTAGCTAGGACTACAGGCTTGTGCCACTATGCCCTGCTATTTTTTTGTATTTTTAGTAGAGATGGGGTTTCACTATGTTGGCCAGGATAGTCTTGATCTCTTGACCTCATGATCTGCCCACCTCGGCCTCCCAAAGTGCTGGGATTACAGGCATAAGCCACCGCACCTGGCCTCACTATTATTTTTTAAAGTGCTTTGATGAACATCCTTGCAACTAATTAATCATTAAGATACATTTTTAGAAGAGGCCTTGCTAGTCAAAGGGTCTGCCCATTTCAAGGTCTTGATGCTCACCCACAGGCATACATTCTAAAAGAAGACACAAAGTATTGTAATTGTATTACCCAGAGCCAGAAAAATTTTCAGGGTTCAGACATAGCTGTTGGCTGCTGTTCCCATCATGCTGACCTGCTGTGGCCTTAGCCGAAGCAGATGTTGCTACAAAGGTCAGCCTACTGAATGCCATCATTACCCTGCCAGGTCCCTGGTGCTGGGCCAAGGGGTGGCTGGAGCCAAATCTTTCTCAACAGACAGGAACCAAAACACAGTTAGTTTCCAACCTTGAACAATTAATCACATACAGAGAAACCTAGGTCTGGCGAAAATGGTTTATTTACAGCTCAATACTTCTTTCAGCCCCAGGTACATTTTGCGATTGTGTTTCATCTTCCGTTCTCACACCTGGACTCTCTTCTAAACACCATCTGAATCATGAGCAGGAGGTCAAGTGCAACACACTGGATTTCTCCTGGCTTGAGAAGTTCATAGACTTGGTTGGCTTTTGCTTTTGTGGCCTTGACTTTATGGCTGGGAGGAAGGTGAAAAGCCCATGAGAGGTGAACTGTGAAATGCTTTACCTACCCACACCCGGGCCACTGGAAACTCCTGTCAAGCCGTAAGCCTTTAGCAGAAAGGTGCTCAGACTTCAAAATAGCAGAGAGATGCTGATGACACCTGGAAGGAGGACTTCCCCTGGCTTGAGATCACACATGAGGCTGGTAGAGTTTCCATGGAAAGCTCCCCCGCCCCCTAATTAAACAATCGATTAACTCAACAAGTATCTATTGAATGTTTACAAGCCAGGCACTGTCTAAGCATTGAGAATGTAGTGGTCGGGCCAGGTGCAGTGGCTCATGGCTGTAATCCCAGCACTTTGGGAGGCCGAGGAGGGCGGATCACTTGAGGTCAGGAGTTGGACACCAGCCTGGCCAACATGGTGAAACCCCGTCTCTACTAAAAGTATAAAAATTAGCTGGGCGTGGTGGCATGTGCCTGTAGTCCCAGCTACTTGGGAGGCTGAGGCAGGATAATTGCTTGTACCCAGGAGATGAAGACTGCAGTGAGCCGAGACTGCACCACTGCACTCCAGCCTAGATGACAGAGTGAGACTCTGTTTCAAAAAAAAAAAAAAAAAGAGAGAATGCAGTGGTGGGTTCCCCTGGGAAGCAGACTCTGAGGCAGAGACTCACACACAGTGGGTTTATGAGGGACCGCTCTTGGACATCTGTGGGTGGAAGGGACTGAAGCGCAATTGGGCAGAGGGGAATGTTGAGCTGTGATGTCATCTAAGTGGGGCCCTCAGCCAACCCCTCCAGGGAGTTCTGAAACTGAGTCATCCTTGACAGACGATACCACCAAGTCACTCAATGTGGGGATCCCAGGGAAGTAACCTTGGGTGAAACAGTTCTCTTCGGTGGAGGCAATCCCTCTAGGGGACTGGGGGCTGAGGGCAGCATGCTCAATGGTTGGGGGAATGAGTCATTTGGTCCCAAAGGAGGACCTGGGTGGTGTGTCACTGAGTCCGACACAGCCCTCACGGAACTCATGGTATAGTGAGTAGTAAGTGTCTTGGTTTGAGTTCACTCCGAAGCAGGACCTGAGACAGGGACTTGGGTGTAGGTAGTGAATTCAGGAGGTGATCTCAGAGAGGAAGAACAAGAAAGTGGGAGAACGAGGCAGGGAAGGACAAAGAGATAATAGAGGGTGCATTGTTGAGCAAGTTCACACTGTGGGACTGAGAAGAATGCATTCAGAATGATCCCCCTGAAGGACAGGAGGTAAGGTGTGTATCCACTGATTCTCTGCCCCATTGTTTGAGGGTTAGCCCCTGGGGTCTGAGCCCCTTTACATTTATAGAATGCACCTGTGAAGGATGTTCCTGCAGCTTTGGGGAAGCTTTGAGGCAGAAAATCAGAGAGTTAGGGGACACCTGATGTGGGAAGTTGCCAGCAGACATGGGCACTGTCCTCACAGATGAGGCTGAAATTAGAGGCAGGTCATGTGGCACAGGTCCTGAATTCTTTAGTAAAGATAAAATCTGCAGCAGAACTAATGAGGAAATTAATCTTGTAAGACCTTTAAGTGGGTATCTCTTCTGACCCCATCCCTTGGTAACCCCCCAATTTTTTTTTAAGAGATAGACTCTCACTATGTTGCCCAGGCTGGTCTTGAACTCCTAAGCTCAAGTGATCCTCCCATCTTGGCCTCCCAAAGTGCTGGGATTACAGGTGTGAGCCATAGCACCCAGCTGAGTAACGCTTTAATGAATATGATTACTTTTAAAAATTACATCCTCTCCTCTTAAAACTAACCAACTGACTGACTAAAACCAATAAACTAACCAACAAACTAACTAACGTGTATTATGCTAAGTTTCAGACATTGTTCTCAAACTGACCAACCAACCAATTAACTGATATGTATTATACTGTCGGGCATTGTACTAAAACTGACTAATCAACCAACCAACTAATAACCAATCAACTCTGTGTATTATACTAAGTTCCAGACATTGTTCTCAAACTGACTTAACCAACCAACCAATTAACTAATATGTATTATGCTATCAGGCATTTTACTAAAACTAACTAAACCAATCAACTAACTAATAACCAATCAACTAACGTGTGTTACACTAAGTTCCAGACAGTGTTCTAAAATGAACTAACTGGCTAGCTAACCAACTAACCATCTTTGATCTCTGCCTCTTCATAGGTTCTTTCTTTGCCTACAACCTTGTTCATCCATACATACCCTGAAAAAGAAGAAAAGGAAGACCCTTTCCTTGAATTTCCTCCCATTTTTGGCTACCTATTCTTCTTTTTCTTTTTCTTTTTCTTTTTCTTCTTCTTTTTTTTTCTTTTTTTCGAGACAGTCTCACTTGTCACCCAGGCTGGATTGCAGTGGTGTGATCTCAGCTCACTGCAACCTCTGCCTCCCAGATTCAAGAGATTCTTCTGCCTCAGTCTCCTGAGTAGCTGGGAGTATAGGCGTGTGCCACCATGGCTGGCTAATTTTTTTTTTTTTTTTTTTTTTTGAGACGGAGTCTCGCTCTGTTGCCCAGGCTGGAGTGCAGTGGTGCCATCTCAGCTCACTGCAACCTCTGCTTCCCAAGTTCAAGCGATTCTCCTGCCTCGGCCTCCCGAGCAGCTGGGGCTAGAGGCGCAGGCCACCATGCCCTGCTAATTTTTTGTATTTTTAGTGGAGATGGGGTTTCACTGTATTAGCCAGGATGGTCTCCATCTCCTGACCTCATGATCCATCCACCCTGGCCTCCCAAAGTGCAGGGATTACAGGCCTGAGCCACTGTGCCCAGCCTAATTTATTTTTATTTTTAGTAAAGACAGGGTTTCACTATGTTGGTCAGGCTGGTCTCGAACTCCTGACCTCAGGTGATCTGTCTGCCTCAGCCTCTCAAAGTGCTGGGATTACAGGCATGAGCCACCATGCCCAGCCCTTCTTTTTCTTCTTCAACAAATATTCGCAGCCTCGATCTCACTGCCCAGGCAACCCTAGCCCAGACAAGTTTGCTTCCAAACCCTCTCCCATGCCCATGTTCTGTTGAATCTAAATTTTCAAAGGCCACTGAAGATCTGGCACTCACAATTCTTCCTTCTTCTCATCTTCATTTCTCAGTTTTCTTCCCTTCTGCAGTGTGTTCCATCTTCTGTTTTTCAAAATTCTTCCTTTCCCTAGTTTTCATGACACTGTCCTTCTCCCTCTATAACCTTTCTTTATTATTTTTTCCAAATTTCATCTTTCTTCCAAGAGCAAGTGCTCTTCAAGGTCTAATGCTTATAACTCTCAGAGTGGTGGTTCTCAAGCTTGGCTGTACCTGAGAGTCACTTGGAGTATTCAAAAACTACTGAAGCTCACGGAGAATTCTGAGGACAGGGAAACTATTCTGCTATGACACAATAATGGCAGATACAGGTTATTATACCCTTGTTGAAGTTATAGAAGGTACAACATAACCAGGAGACTTTGGATGATAGTGATGTGTCAATGTTGATTCGTCGACTATAACAATGTACCACCCTGGTGGGAGGCTGTGTGTTGCAGGGTATAGGGGATGTATAGAGACTCTCTACACTTTTGCTCAATTTGGCTATGAACCTGAAATAGCTCTTTAAAAAAATCTAAGAAGCTGGGCATGGTGGTGTGTGTTTGTAGTCCCAGCTACTCGGGAGGCTGAGGTGGAAGGAAGATTGTTTGAACCTAGGAGTTTGCGAGCAGTCTGGATAACACAGCGAGACTTCATCAGAGAGAAAATAAAGAAGGAAAGAAAAGAAAGTAAGAAATAAGGAAAGAAGGAAAGGAAGGAAGAAAGGAAGGAAAGAAAGGGAGAAGGGGAGGAAGGAAAGAAAGAAGGGAAGGAAGGGAAGGAAAAGGAAAGAAAGGAAGGAAGAAAAAGAAACTATTAAGCTTTTAAGCTGCTGATGCCCAAGCTATCCCCGAGATTCTGACTTAGTTGCTCAGGGTGGAGCCAGGGCATCAGTGGTTTTTAAAAAGCCCTCTGGTGGATTTTAAGGGGCAACTAGGGTTCGGAAATGCTGGGCAATGCTTTCTCCCTGAGAATCTTTGCTCTCTTTTAAGCTTCACTGATTGCTTTTAAGCAGGAAACCCCCAAATTTAACTTTCCAACTCTGCCTTTTTTCAGGGTTCTCAGGTTTCCAACCTCCACTTTTATAGATATGTCAGAGATCATATCAAACTCACCATCTTTTGATTTTCCCAAATTCCTTTTCAAGCCGTCCCTGTTTCTGCTCAGCACATCGTTTATCAGCGTGGCTCTTCAGGTTTTAGAAACCTCAGAATCCCAGCATTAAGGATTCTTTGAGTTCACATCTCTGACCTTTTCTCCAAAGCTGGAGTCCCCTCATACTTACTCTCTGCCTCTATTTGGATCTTTGTAGCCACAAAGCTCAGTCCTTGGCAAAGATCCTCTTCTTTTCAAGAACACGTTTTTGTTTTTCTTATTGCACAGCTGGTTCTTGTGAATGACAGAAAAAAAGCTTAAAAATATCGAAAAGCATAAAGGAGAAAATAAAAACCACCCACAATACCATCCCCTGCCAGCTATTATTAATGTTTTGGTATGTAAAAATAGATGTAAAAAAGAAACAGGTTAAATCGTGACACGTTTTTAATGTCATCCTTCACTGAACGTGACATCGTGAATATTCCCCCATCATACTCTTCCAAATCATTTCAAATAGTTTTTATTTTAAAGATAATTTTGTCTAAGAAAGTAGTACATGTTCATTGTACAAAAGTCAAATGAGGAGAAGCAGGGAATTCTTCCTTCTTCCTCCCCCACTCACGTTTTTCTTGTAAGGGGAAAGAATTCGGTATTTCAAAGAAAGCATTTGTTGGTATTCTTTGTGCTTATTTTCTGGGCTGACTTTTAAAAATGGAATTATGTAATCTTTTCAGAGCTCGAGGCATCTAGAGGTTTCAAGCTGGCTGTTTGGGGCTATTCCGTTGCCCTCCATCACCACCTCCCTGGGGCTCACCGGTCTTAATTCCACCATGCTTTGGAATTATGGCAAAGGCAGTCTCTTTTTAAGGGCAGTTCTGATGGTTGGAAAGCTCTTCTTTATGTCGTGTTGAAACTGCTTCTTGTCCTTTACTCTTGGCTTCAGACTTTCTTTATGGAGCCAGTGAAAAACCAAACCAAACCCATAAACCAAACAAGCAAGGCCAAAAAACAAACAAACAGAAATCCATACAGACAACTCTTTGTCTAATTTGACATGTCTCCCCTTTCTTCCCCACCTGAGAACTGATCTTTGGCTGCCTTCAGAGGGAGAAATCAGGTCAAGACCATGGCTGTGCAGCCAGACCCCCTGGGTTCCTTGGACAAATTTCTTAATCCCCTCTGAGCCTCAGTTTCCTCATCTGTGAAATGGGAATAACAACAGTACCTACCCACAGTGTTACTGTGGGGATTAAACAAGTAATACGGCTGGGTGAGGTGGCTCACACCTATAATCCCAGCACTTTGGGAGGCCAAGGTGTGTGGATCACCTGAGGTTAGGAGTTCAAGACCAGCCTGGCCAACATGGTGAAACCCTGTCTCTACTAAAAATACAACAATTAGCTGGGCATGGTGGCACGTGCCTGTAGTCCCAGCTACTCAGGAAGCTGAGGCAGGAGAATCACTTGAACCTAGGAAGTGGAGGTTGCAGGGAGCCGAGATCGCACCACTTCACTCCAGCCTGGCTGACAGAGCAGGACTCTGTCTCAAAAACAAACAAACAAAAACAAACACAAAAAAGTAATACATGCAAAGCCCTTAGACCAGGCCTGGCATTTGCCGCCATCAGGTATCTAAAGGGTCTGGATTCTGCATGGAGAAGGGAAGGTGGCAAGGTTGTCAGGCTCTGAGATTCTCACCTGGAAAACTCACCTGGATGCAGGGACCCCCTGTATTTGTTTCTGTCTTCTGTTTAGAACTCATTTCAGTGATTAGTGTTGCATGTTTGCCTGTGGCCGGAGAGCCCCAAAACTGAAATTGTAAAGGTCATGGGAAGAACGCAGGGGACAGACAGGGTGAGGAGAGGCAGCCAGGGTTAGGGAATGTGGAGGGAGGGTGACAGAATCAAGTGATTTCTGACCTGACAGCTGCAGGTCCCAAGCCTTAAGCAGCTGGGTGAAGTTGGACAAGCTGTTTAAGCCTCATTTGCTCACCTGTAAAATGGGTTCGATAATGAGTGATGAGGAATAATATGCCTTTGCCTTACAATTATTCAGCTCTCACCTGGCGACCACCCACCTTCCTTCCTTTCATCCTCATGATATAGGAGTTAAGAAGAAATTATTTAGGCAGATAGTGAGAGTAAGACAGTCCGTCCTCAGTAAGGTTTCCTTTTAATAAAAAGCAGCCCCCAAATCATTTCTTTTCTAACAAAAAGCAGCCTGTAAAATCGAGCTGTAGACACAGATAAGTGAAGCTGGAAGCTTGCAAGGGTGAATGCTGGCAGCTGTGCCAATAGGAAAAGGCTACCTGGGGACCAGGCATGTTCAACATGGCGGCTCCATCTTCCCTTTTGTCAACCACGTGGACAGTAAGGAACAGACAACATGGTGCCGGCCAGGGAGAGACCCCATCTACATAATCGAAGATGAGAGTGGGGCAGCCAGCTTCTTTGCATGCTATGTAAATGACACATCTGGTCCAACCAATCTTTGGGCCCTATGTAAATCAGATACCGCCTCCTCAAGCCAGTCTGGAAAACCCCGTGCACTTCACCATGGAACTGGAAGACCCACTCAGGCACCTCTCTCTCTGCGGGAGAGAAAGCTGTTCTCTTTTTCTCTTTCGTTCGCCTATTAAGCCTCTGCTCTAAAACTCACTTCTAGGCCGGGCGCGGTGGCTCAAGCCTGTAATCCCAGTACTTTGGGAGGCCGAGGCGGGTGGATCACGAAGTCAGGAGATCGAGACCATCCTGGCTAACATGGTGAAACCCCGTCTCTACTAAAAATACAAAAAACTAGCCAGGCGTGGTGGCGGGCGCCTGTAGTCCCAGCTACTCGGAGGCTGAGGCAGGAGAATGGCGTAAACCCGGGAGGCGGAGCTTGCAGTGAGCCGAGATCGCGCCACTGCACTCCAGCCTGGGTGACACAGCGAGACTCCGTCTCAAAAAAAAAAAAAAAAAAAAAAAAACTCACTTCTTGTGTGTGTCCGCACCTTCGGTTTTCCTGGTATGAAACAACAAACCTTGGGTATTTATCCCAGACAATGATGCCATTTCACTCATAACAACTCTGAGGCAGATAGGAACATCCCCATTCTACAGATGAGGACACTGAGGCACAGAGGGGTGGGTCACTTTCTCAAATCCACGAACTCAAAAAGTGCAGGGCTGGGAATTGGAATGTAAGTGGGCCCCAGAGTTGGGATTTTTTTTTTTTTTGAGATGGAGTCTCACCCTGTCACCCAGGTTGGAGTGCAGTGGGCGTGATCTTGGCTCACTGCAAGCTCCGCCTCCTGGGTTCAAGTGATTCTCATGCCTCAGCCTCCTGAGTAACTGGGATTCCAGGCATACACCACCACACCCAGCTAATTTTTGTATTTTAGTAGAGACAGGGTTTCACCATATTGGCCAGGCTGGTGTCAAACTCCTGACCTCAGGTGATCCGCCTGCCTCGGCCTCCCAAAGTGCTGGGATTACAGGCGTGAGCCACCGTGCCCAGCCCAGAGTTGGGATCTTAATGAGCTTTTAGGCTGACTAAATAAATAATAATAAGCCTATGATTTATTGAGCTACTTATTTGGTCCTGCTTCTCTCTGTTAATATGTACAACAACTCTGATTCAATGCCTGGCCCCTGGAAAGTCACCCTGTAGGTGTGCAAGGACTGTCTTCCCTCAGGTGGGGGCCTCCTTTGGTTTACAACAGGGGGGTAATCACACCTGCCTGCATGCTAGGTTCACACAGGGAACTTGTCAAAAGTAATGATGCCAGGCCCCACACCAGTTTCTGATTCCATTACTCTGGGATGGAAGCCCTGCATGGGGAGTTTTTAAAAGCACCCTGGATGATTTGAGGTTGCAGGCAGAATTGAGAACCTTGGCTTGGAGAGGTTTTAGACCCCTCCAGGTGTGATTCTCATCCTTGGCTGCAGGCTGCATGTTAGAATCATCTGGGAACTTGGAGATTCTGAGCTCATTGGTTTGAGAGGGGAGTTGAGTATCGGTCTTACTCACTGAGCTAATTAATGCCTGTTGGACCTTACTAGGTGCCAGGCAGTAAATTAACTCATTGAATCCTGGACTGACCAAATCATTCTGGTTTGCTAGGGATTTTCTGCCCAAAGACTTTAGGTCAGGTGTGGGCACACCTGGATGGTTGGTCACCCTACTGAATCCCTCCCTAAACTTACATTTCATCTTGACCTCACTTACTTATTTCATGACAGATCTCTGAGAAAAGCTCTACTGTTAAACCTGTGTTGTTGGCTGGGCTCAGTGGCTCGTGCCTGTAATCCTGGTGCTCTGGGAGGCTGAAGGGGGAGGATCACTGGAGGCCAGAAATTTGAGGCTGCAGGGATCTATGATCGCACCACTGCACTCCAGCCTGGGTGACTGTGAGACCCTGTCTCAAAGCAAAACAAAACAAAAACCAACGAAAACCCCAAACCTATGTTGCAGATGAAGAACTGAGGCACATAGAGTATTGGTCGCACAGTTAGTAAAGGGTGGTTACAAAAGACTTCCATAACCAGGATTTCATTTCCTATCAGGGCCATCTGCAAGAAGAGGAGGGGTTCTTTTTGGTCCCCATTTTACAGACAGAGTGAGGTTCAGGGAGGTTAATGACTTCCCATGGTCAGTGGCCACTGTACTAGATGGGAAATCTGATCTTCTGACTCCCAGCTCATGGCATGACTTCTGTTAGGCTGCGTGGGAGGACAAAAAATTGTCCCTTGCAGAGGCTTGAGGATCATGGACTTTGACACGCTTTGCATCCGTCGGCAGAACTTGGGCCTCCCGGCTTTCCCTCCTTCGAGGGCTGAGAGTCTTACTGCGACCCTTTTCTCCTGGGAGATGGGGGGGCTGTGTGTTAGAAAAGGCCAAGATGATTATTAGCAGGCGGGTGCTGTTCATTTCGAACATCTGCCCTTGGGTCCCCAAGGCCAGCTCCATCGAAGACATACACTAAGGCATTGTCAGATTCCATAAACAGCTTCTTGCTCTCGGGGGAGCGATCTGGACAGGGCCGGTCAGGCTGGTGAAATGTCATCGGAGGTGCAGAGTCACAGGGGACTGTGGGCAGGCGTGCACAAAGGATTCTTTTAGCATAATCCGGTGTTTTGGGGATAGGTGTGGGGAGAGAAATACGTGGCCTGGTTT